CGCATAATTCCCAGAGATTAGATTAACCAGTGTCGGGGCATTTGATATACAGCTCCTAACGCTGGTCAGGCTCTGGTTTTGGGCTTGGTGACCGGGACCCTTGGCCAGTTTGAAAGGCCTCTGATAAAAGGCAAACACACTAATTTACACATTTAGATATTAGCCATTAGCTGTTAGCCATAGGAATTGCCTTTGGTGAAATTGATTAGATTTGGATAAAAGGCGGCTGGTGACCCATTGTATAGATTAGATTGGTTAATGATCGAGTTTACGACGCCGATTAAAAGGTATGTATGGTTCGATATATCAGAGGGAGAGCGGGAAAGGAAGGAAGTCGAGGGGCAGAGAGAGAGAGAGTGAGGCAACCTGATAAGTGGATTAGTTGATCACAGTAGTCGGACTAGAGATCGCCAATAAATCGCTGGTAATTTGAATCGATCGACGGGCAGGGAGAAGGACCAAGAGCTGGAGCTGGAGCAAGTGCAAGTCCAAGTAGCTTATTTTCCAACATTCCGCTCCTCGCCTTCCGCTGCCAATTCAAACTAATCCCCTGTAAGATGTCCACACACACCGAGCATTTCCTCTCGCCATTAGCCATTAGCCATCGCGGAGTAACCCATTGCCCATTAGCAGAAGGGGCACCACTTCCTGGGGCACCACAAGCTGCGCGATCGTCGCCGTCGCTGTTAATGTGTGACTTTTGCTGTGTTTTTCAACGACATTAATTTTGTGTGTTGGATCTTAAGCCGGATTTAGTTAAGCAGCTCAGCGATCGTCGGGCATTGAATGCCAGGCCGCTGGCTACCAGACGTCTGGAACGCTCTGCCGCTGCCGCTCCAGCTTTGGTCACATTTTGTTGGGAGCGCTTAGGAAATATAATCCCTTTTGTCGATGCCAGGCATGATCGCCGCTTACTTTACTCACTCCGCCCGGCGATCACCTGTTTATTTTTGGTATTGGTATATCGATATATGTGAGTTTGAGTATTGGGTATTTTGAGACCGTCTCGGAGCGCTCTTTATAATGTGTCGCACATTAGTTAGCAGTTAATACTTTAAATAAGACGAGGTTACCGACTCTTTGGCTCTGGGCCTCAAGAGAAATATGCTCGCAAGCCGATTGTCGCTGTGACTTGTAGAAACTCACCGGCTGCTGTTGCGGCTTATGATTTTCAACGGGGCGTATTAGTGATAACTAATAAATCTTCAGCACCGAAAATACCTTCGTGTAAGCCCCACAATGTCATCGTGATCAGAACCAAAGTTTATAATCATTTATATATATATATAGAGATAGATATAGATAGAAATTTCTCCCCAGATATTCATTTCAGTTCCACTTGCCGCCAACCCACTTGTCATAATTCTCAAAACATTGGGAAATTTATGTCCGCCGGAGAGGAGGAGCACGGATTTGGCTAGCCCATTTAAAAATAGTTCAGAATTCGGTCTCGTATATCTACGGGGAACAAGCTAAATCCACTAATTAAGAATGAAAAAGGTGACAATGGGGGAGGCGCAACATCATCTCGCGAGAGCGAGAGGACAGATGATGACTTTCGAAATGCGTAAATTGTATAAAATTCGATTCTTTCCCGTGTTTTGTCAGGGTACGTTCATTCCGATTAAGCTGAATGACAAATGCCCAAAACAAATACCCAAAGACATCGAGAATCCACAATCTGGACTGCTCCTCCTCCGCCGCCCTACAAATTAATTACCCAAAGTTGTCTTTATCATTCGAACTTTTCCGTTTTTTTTTTTTTTCAGTTTTTTGTGTTCGTTTTCGGCTTGTATTTTTATCAGCTTTCGGTTCGCCTTAAGCTACAAAGCCTGAACCGCTTTTATCGCAATGTCTTACAAATCGTTTTATCAAGGTGTCATTAGCTGCCAAACAACAACAGTAACAACAGCAACAGCCCAAACCGAAGGTGTTCTATGATAAGTGCAGAAAGGAAAACCTCGACAAGTCGAACACGTTTTGTTGATTATCTGAGGAGCTGAAGAGCTGGAGAGGAGGAGAGAGCCGGTGAGCGGCGCCTTTGAAAGCGATTCCACATGGGGAATAGAAATACCTAGACCTGAACATGAACAACCCAAAAAACAGATCACAAAATAGTCGGGAATTGATTTAAGGCCGCTCTGCAAGTGCCAAAATCAACCAAAAAATAATAATGAAAATGAAGCTCTGACATCGTGTAATTAACTTAAAGCGTTTTCCCTGTTCGATGACACTCTGGCCACTTGCTGCCACTAACTACTATCGGGTACTAACACGGCTTTTAGTTTGATTGAAGAGCGGGCTGAGATCACGCAACGAACAGCAGACGAGATCTGGAACTGAAACCGCGACTCAATCTCTGAAGCTGAGGCCAAGTCCGCCGACTTATGATAATAATCATTATAAATTATTATAATCCAATCGGCTTTGAATAATTAATAAATACGTTTATATATATCTATCTATATGTATCGCATAATCGTGCCGTAAAAAGCCCCAGACTGACAACAGATCGCAAGTTGGAGTGAGAAAGCGACGAATGAAATGCTAAAAATGTGTTACAATCTAGTAGCAGGCAGTAAGTGGCAGCCAGTGAGATCAGGAAGAATGGAGGCCTAAGCCCTGATAAATACTGGCTGCCTGTAGTCTCGGAGCATTGAAAGAGGTGCTAGCTGCAGAGGCACGACCAAAGAAAGCCAGAAGTCAGAGGAGGCGGCCACAAAGATGACAAACAGTTTGGACATTTATGAGCGGCATTTAATGGACATTTGACTACCGGAATTTAACGAAACCGAAAACGTGGGAAGGAGGGCTTCAGGCCTGCTCAAAGAAAGGGAGAAGAATGCATTTGATTGGAACCCAGATTCGATGCGCGGCCAGATTAACCCCGATTATCATTAGTCTTGGTCGGAGAAACGGCCATCTCTCTGGGGGGAAACCAGTCAGAGGAAATGACTATTCGATGATCATGGTGAGGTATAGTAAGGTATATAGTAAGGCAGAATAAGCCATAGTAAGCAGGAAGCAGCGGCGAAGAAGATTTCAATTAATAAATATTCCATTATCTGACTGCTAATGCCGCTGCTCCTCGCCGCCTTCCTAACACTTTCAGATTAGACAAAATCGAACCATTTATAATTTATAAGACCTCAGGCCTATCTGACTGGCCAAAGGGGCTGAGGGGGGGCTGGGTGATATAACCGGGTCGAGTGAAGAGACTCGCTCGGCATTATCTATTCCCCGAGTTCGATTCCAATAGGTTTTACCCTAAGAAAAAGCCAAAAAACAGAAATTATCACAACAATAAAACTAAATGCTTTATAATTAGTTTGCAACCCCAAAAATCACACACGCACACACACACTCGCAGAAGATTTCCTATTGAAAATGATTTGTTATAGTTTTGAAAGAATTCACATTCTGGCCATACTGGTTTATTATCTGGCCCAACTTACGCCGTCTTATCTTAATCCCATTCACTAAGCATATGCGTCGACACATAAAACTGTCAAAAAAGCACAAAAATAAAGAAACAACTCGAGAGCCAGATGAAAAGGCCGAATATTCGAATGCCCTAATCGAAATAATTAGAAATTACCTCATCCCAGAAAATTGCCGAGACTTTGCCAGAATAATTTCGTTAAGGAAATTGACTTTTATCGCCAAGAATGTACAAATGCGAGTCCCAGTTGGAGCCATTTGGAAAAAAGGCAATCCCTGAGGATCAGTTCAGCTGGATTCGAGGCAAGGCTATAGACGTAATCTCAATCCTCCAAAGGCAACTATTCCCCATGGCAAGGGTATACGAAATTACTGGCATGCCAGCGAGTTTGGGCTGTTTGTTTTCGATAGATTCGGCTCGATTCGGCCAGTACAATAATTCTTGTGGCATGATTTCGGCTTAAAGACAATGGCGGTGGGTCGCTCTCCGAGATTGGGATTTGTTTTAATATACAGCGTGGAGACGTTTTCGAAATCGAATGGAAATAAAATCCATAAATTCTTGGATTAGTCAGCCCCCGTTTTCGGCGTTTGGCTAACCGATTTAACCGATTTGAAGGCGATATCAATGGGTTGCACACAGAGGCAGAGCCAGGGGCAGGGGCAGGGGCATAGGCAGAAGTCAGACCGCAGAGCCAGATAAATAATAATTACACTCACACAACATAATCAATTATGTCTGCTAATAAAGTCTGCCCGCCCCGGCGAGCCACACACACCCAGATATCTACGGACATGTGTATGAGTGATCCCCCACTCTTTCCTCCAGATCGGCCTGTTAAGGGGAGTTGGACTAATCACGCCAGCATGTTCATAATCAATTTTATCGCACTTATTTGGATTAATTGCGATATCAGTGACAGGGGCGCTCGCTCGAGTCAGATAAAAGCTAAAAAGTGGCGCACAACGATGACGCGATGGCAAAGCCCAGAGAGGGTGGTGGTTACCCCTGCCCACCTGGTTATATCCCTCAGTGCTCGTAAACCCCATCGATATCTAAGTTCGTCATCGCCTTATGCCCAAATTACCAGCATTTGTCAAAGTTACCGTCGGGATTATCTTATCTAACTTGGCAAAAGCTCTCTCAGAGCATGGAGAATGGAGAATGGAGACCGGAGAACTGAGGGTTTGGGGATCGGCTTTACAATGCAATTAGTGAAGAGCAGAGGAGAAGTAACGGAGGAGCAGCGGCAAAGATAAACAATGGGGCAAGGGCTTATCGCAGCACCGATCTCGAAAATCTCAGCCGATAAGGATTATCTTAATCTGCATAAATAGCGAAACGAGCGCATATCTACACGAGTGCTATCACTTTGGCCTGGCCATATGTCGCTTGCCCCGATTTTGTTTGCTTTCAACTGATTCATTTTTTTAAGGGAGGGAGAGAGATAGGTAATAAAGCCATCTGACTAATAGGTGTGAAGTGCCGCCGGCAAAAGCAATGATGAAATCTTCAGGGGATTGGATCTTTACAGATTCGTAAGAACTCAAGAACTCACCTGCTGACCGGCATTGGCGGCCACCCAGGCCTCGGCAAAGGTCTCCATGGCGCTCTGGAAGTCCATCTCGGTGGCGTTACAAAGTTCTAATCACTGGACTCGACTGTTAACGTATTTCTTTTATGGCCAGATGCAGGCGCGCTTTGGCATTAATTGCAATTTGGATGGTTCGCTGTGATTTGTTTGATTGCAATTTGTAACCGCGATAAGGGCAGCTCGATTTCGCATTCGATCGGGGTATATACTTCTTGATTTGATTATTATTATTTACTTTTAATTAATAATTATTTTCTTCTCTTTTGTTTAGTGACGCGTTAACGCGAATTAGACACAGGCACACACACACGCGCAACCGCACAGACGCTCAGGTGAAACGCGCGTTTCCTTTTGGAACGGATTCGATGACGCTAGTTCAAGTGGATGCTGTTGCAGTGGCTCGAGAAGATGTTGCTGCTGTTGTTGTTGTTGTTGTTGTGGGCGACGCGACATCATTAGTGCCATGAAATCGGGAGCTGATCGCGTCGCTGCGTCACCACCAGGATTGGCAGCGTATCAAATGCGGCGAATGCGGCTATCGCAAATCCAGCGGAGCGTTCACGTTTCGGATTTCCCTTGGGCAATTGGATGACGATGTAAGTGCTTGTTCTTGGCCGAGTCGAGTCCTTGGGCTCCGGACTGATCTGGCTCTCTCTGTGGGGACTCTCCTCGCTGGGTTTCGCAAAGTATTGGTGAGCGGACGCGCGTCAAGACATCCTCTCTTGGCCAAAGTTGTGTCACAACTGACGGCATTCTTTCGCCTTCGCACATTCGCCCGCTGGCTCTGCCGCCGCCGCTGCCGGCGTCGCAGTCGATGTTGCCGGTGCCGGTGTTCGGTGTTTGGTGCTCGGTCTCTTTCGGTCCTCGGCGCTCGGTCTCGTTCTGGCCCATCCCCCAGCTCATCTCCACCCCCGCTGTGACCAAGGTCTCTCTCCCGCGGCTCCATTTGCCGCCTGTCCATATGCACTAGTGTGAGTCCACGGAGCCTCAACGAGCTCTCTTTCTCTTTGACTTCGCTTGTGTTGGTGCAGAGGGAGAGCGATTCAAATAGTAGTAGACACTGAAAAGGTAGTAGTGCTATTTGGTTAGCTGACATGCCTATTCAGAGTCTGCAGAGATACTTTTGTGGTTTTAAATGATATTTTGAGATAATTTATTAAATAAAAACATTTTTTGATTCTGAAAAAACGCATATATCTTATCATATTTAGATAGTTCATTCAATGGCTGTTCACTGGGCGAAGAAGGTTTATATATTTTATAAAACATATTTTATTATGGCTCTCCAAAAGTCAACTTTTAGAGACAGCATTAAGTTATGAAAATCTGTAAGCGTCCATATTCAAAAGTTAATTTCTTTCTATGAAAATTTTCGTTAAATGACTCACCATATCATGATATATAATTTATTATTCGTATAAATAAATTTCGTTATCAGTGTTCTATAAATTTAAACTGTTCCGGTACTCAAAATTATTTATATGAGATTATAGTCCAGTCTAAAAATAGTTTATGTTAACGAACAATAATAAAATGAAAAAACAAATTTGACTTTTTAATTCAGAAGCTCGTCAAGCTCAACGTTTTCCTTTTACTTAATTTTTATTTAAAGATCTTTTTCATGTGTAGTAGCATAAATAAAAAATTGTCACTATTTATATATCTATTAATATTGGTAGATCTGTATTTAATTTTTAAGTTTTTTAAAAGATAGACTTATATATTCCTCTGTCCTAATTTCAAGACTTTGGTTTATAAGAGGAGAATTTTCCATTTCGACTTTGAAATAAAATATTCAAGCACCTAGAATAGTGTAAGATGAGCGATGTGAAGAAATTTTGAATAAAAGTGATCAGTTTTTACGTTCTTGTCAGTGTTAAAAATATAGAGCGTATATAAAATACTTAAAATAATAAAATACTTAAATACCCTTAAAAACAAAAACTGAAAAAAGATGTATTATTATTAAGCAGCGAGCAAAGGTGATGAAGAACTAAAAGCAAACTTTTCTTTTTTTAGATTAAGAAAATTGGTACTAAAATTCGTTTCTAAGAAAAATAATGCTACTTTTATGCTGGACACTTAAAAGTTATTCTTTTAAGATTAACACATTTATTTACAATTAGGTAGCAGAGAATAAAATTTAAATAAATATTATTATTTAATAAAAAAAAAATACATTCATTTATTACAGGGCAACTATCCTTGTAATTCATTCTCTTGATGAATCTTCACCTCAGCACTTTACCTAAATTTTATTAAATTTCAAGAAAAAACCTTACAGTTACTTCGAACCGAATAGTAACTGCCTTAAATGAGTAATTCAAGCGTTATGAGCCATCTTCACTCCAAGGGAAAAGATTAAACTCGTACTGGGGTTATTTTCATTATCCAAAAGTGTTTTCCCAAGCCATCTTGACATAAGATTACCAAACGAGTTGGGGATTCTGAAACGTAGTAGAAATACTGCGAAATGCCATTCTGCTGAGTGAGGCAAGCAAGCCGCTTTGCATGTGTTTGTTGGTGAGTGACCAAAACAAAGCACACGTACAAGGGCAGAGAGAAGAGAGCGTTTCGAGAGAGTGAGCTATCTAGAGAGCGGCTCTCGCTCTCTCACACACACTCGCGAATAAACCTGTTCCGGCGCAGAATTGCACTTGTCGTCGGCACAGCCTTCCCAGCCCAAGCCAACCCCCCCAACCCCTGGGAACCCCCTTCCCAACTGCGCGTTTTCTTTTATTTTTTGTGCGCTGTGGCGAAACTCAATGGATTTGCTGCAAATTCGGGTGGAATTATACCACACACACACACACTGACAGAGGCCAGCACTCGTATCCCTACACCGTGTAGAGTGGGCGTGGGCGTAAGCAAAGCCACTGCGAGTGCGAGCGGAGAGGCAATAGGTTCGGGTATTCGGGATGAAAGAGTAAATCGGCACTGCTTATTCCTCTCGGTGGGTGGTGGGTGGTCATCGGCGGGTTAAGGGACGTGGAGGAATGGGTGGGCTACACCCACTCGGCATTTAGCACCTCCGTGAATGGCGACGGCCTTCGTTTAGGGTTCGTGAGTTCAAGGCACGAAGTGGATATCGCCGGAGGGCGGTGGCTAGGTGGTTCCCCCGGAAAACTGGAGATAAGAGCGCAGATAATGCGCGCGCATTACATGTGATTAGGTGTCCGGGCTCCAGGATTTAGCCAACCGCGTCCAAGTAAATGGTAAATACGATTCCTATATACAGCGCTCGTAGGGGAACCGCCGTGCCGAAAATAGATCGCAATTGGGTGGAGTTACAGTGGGTTTAGTAATTAGTTTAGGATCTAATATCCCTATTAAGGGAAAATAACATAAAATTAAGGTTTATTCATCTTTAATTCTTATAAAATCTTTAAAAAATAATACACTTTAATCATTTACGAAAAACTTTAAAAATTCCAAGTTATTTTCTTAAGAAAATATGTATTTTTTATCTGGTTATCTTTATCCCACGATTTCCCTCACCATTTCCCCAATGCGCAAGCTCTCCCTTTCTCCCTCTTGAGCATGCCCTCTCTCTTTCTCTCTCGCCTACTGAGCTCTCTTACACACACACATACAAAGCCACTCTCTATCTTTCTCTCTCTCTCTCTCTTTTTCTGGTTCTCTGTCACTCCAATGGAATCGTGCCAGAGCGAGATAACCCATCGAAAAAATTAGAGCAAAGAGAGATGAGCAAAGCGTAAACGCAGGCGAAAAACGCCAAAGAATACGAGATACGAGAAAAAAGAGGAAAAACACGAAATCAACATAAAAAGCGGCGGCAAACCAGTTCGGGATAGACTCCGCCCCCGCCGCTCGCTGATTGGCTAAGCAGCCGCTTTGCCCGGCGACTTCATCTTGTTCTTTTTCGCCTTCCTATATTCTTTTTCCAGTGGCTCCGACTGCGGTTTTATCGCCCTCTCCCCCTCCTCTTGAACATAACTTCCCTTTTTCGACGTCGACGTTATTTGCAGAGCTTTACCAAATTTCGGGGCTCAAAATCTTTTGCTGCTCTTAGCATTTTAGATGGAGCCCCACACAAACACACAGCTTGAACATCCTTTTATATTGCACACAGATACATTTCCATGTGGCATTTAATTTCAGCTTCCAAATACAGAAACTTAATTAATTCCCCAGCACAAGCCAAGTTAATAACCCAACTAAAAGAACGAAATGAGAAAATGGTTCATTACACCGATTCTGCTAGTTTTAATAGGGATATTTGACATGTAGTTTTCTATACCAACTTGGAAAAGGAGTCTATAGCTAATATATGAGAGGATAACAGTAGGTTACATTGCACTATTGGCACAGATATCGCATAATCTTGTAATTATTATGTAGCTTTAAGCAGTATTTCAAGGGCTATTCAAATAGTACCTCCCAATTTAGCTACGTTATAAACTCAAATTCAACGATTAAATATTGCTTTTTTAATGTTTATTTCCAATTACTCCTATGAAGCTTGATGATCATATTATAGTTGCGTTTTTAAAATAATGAAATCAAAAATACAAACCCTTTTCCGAAATAAGGAAAAATTAGTTTTCCCAACTTTAAAGAGCCCTTCATAGGCATTATAAGCTACACTACCTACTCTATTCAAATGTACATAAAAAGGTATTTAAATGACTCTGAAGACTTAACAGAGTATAACACTAATGAAGTCTAAAAACTTTATTTATATCCGTAATATATAACCTTTTAACTTCATTATATGTACTAAGAACAAACCTATTTGATGCTAGGAATTACTTAAGAATAACCAGTTTATCTTTTTCTTCTCTGATTCTTCATAACTTTGAAATTTCCACTAAAATCCATAAATTCATAAATTTTTCCTTAGGAAAACTATTAAGTTTTCCTCCGCCTTTGAAGTAAACACATTGGAATTTCCGGTTCGATGACATCTTCTTGGCCACCAAAAGCGTTGCAAATTTTTCGCTGGCCAAAAATAAAAGCCCATGTGTCTGGCTGGCCACCCATACTTCGACGTAAATAATATTTACTGTTAGCCAACTCATCAGCGAGCCCCGTTCCCCAGTAAAAAACCCACCCCCAGGTCGTCTATATTGGGCGGAAAAACATTTAAATAAGCAAAGAACGCGACATCATCGGGCCAAAAGAGACCTACACATGCTGTGCAGGAGTTTTCCAGGTGGGGAAGGAGCCGGAGGTCTCCTCGCGGAACACGGAAAATCAATAATTTTATTAAAGCTCCAGTTTTCGCGTTTGATGGGAGCAAAAGTTCAGTTTGTACTTTTCAGTTATTCCAGTTAGCTTTTAAACTGAGAACATAGATGTGGAAATAACCAAACCCTGAATAACCAATGGATAGAGGGTTATTAATAATTTGGGATTTTCAGATTTAGGACTTACAATTTCTTTAATAAACAGTCTGTTCCTTAAATATGCTCTAAAACCATTACATTAAAAAATAATTTATTATTTTAGTTACATTTTCGTATGCCAGATTTAATCCATTTAGGCCAAACTCAAATAAAAAGAATTGACAATTTGGAAAATGTTCCCTTGTACATATTTTAACTAAAACCGTTTTCATTTATGGTATATCAAGATTAAATATCATTTATTCCGGCTTCCGGCATTTCAACTTCTGACCTTAATAGTATAATAAAAATAACTGATTTTATATTAAATATTCATTTAGTTAAGATGCCGATTAAGTTACTGTGACCTTGATAGAG